GGGTTTAGGGTTTCGGGTTTGAGGCATCAGGTTTTGGGGTTTTGGGTTCTAAGGGTTTACGGTTTAGGGCTTTAGGGTTTTAGGGTTTAGGGTTTGAGGCATCAGGTTTTGGGGTTTAGGGTTTAGGGTTTAGGGTTTTACGGTTTTAGGGTTTAGGGTTTAGGGTTTAGGGGTTAGGGGTTTAGGGTTCTGGGGAAAAAGGTTTAGGGTTTAAGTTCTAGGGTTGTTCAGGGATCATGGGACTTGATAAACAGGCTATGATTACCCAGGGTCGGAAGTAGTCCAAAGTCTGAGTACTAAACACAACTCATGCTGCAACCTGCTTATTAAGTCCTCTGAGCTTTTAAGAAAGCCCTAAACCCGCAAACCTCAAATGAGAACCCGGACCCCTGAACCCAACAAGCCCGAATCCCAAGCCCTGCAAAGCCTAAACCCTAAACCCTAAATCCCAAGCCCCTAAACCCAGAAGCCCAAAAGCCCCTTAGCACCCAGAATCCAACGGAAGCCCTACAGACGCATACAAATGCCAAGGTTTGAGGGTTTAGGGGTTTAGGTTTAGGGGTTTAGGGGCTTTAGGGTCTTTAGGATTTAGGGTTTAGGGGCTTTAGGGTTTAGGGTTTAGGGGCTTTAGGGTCTTGTTTTTTTAATGGGCCCTATTCCAACTGCAGAACAGTTTAGAATTCCTTACCAGGAGGAGCCTGTTATTGGGGTTTAGGGTTTAGGCTTGAGGCGGGATCTCAGGTGCCAGGTTTAGCAGTTAAGTGTGTTGGGGAGGGCTTAGGCTTTACGCTACTAGCATCCCCATGTGGGCAGCCCAAACAGGCACGCAGAAATATTTCTTATGTGCCCTATATACCCTCACCAAAGCCTTAACATGGACCCAAGTTCCCACTGCAACGCTGAGGGTCCAAGGTTTATACACTGTCTAGGTTTTCAGGCCCTAAGCTCCTTTTGCTGAAACCCCACATCACCAAACACCACACACGAAACACAAAACTCCCACAACTTAACCTCTAAAGCCTAAGCCTAAAACTCCTAACCCCAAACCAACCCTAAACCCTAAACTCCCAAACCCGAACCACTAAGCTCCCAAACTCCTAAGCCCCAAACCCGAATCTAGGACATTTTCAGGTGGGTAGTTACCGTTATAGGAGCCTTATAGAAGGTCTACATACCTTTTTGAAGCGTTATGGAGGCCCCTCTTGACCCTAAACTCCCCACCTGTAGTTTCCTTTCACCGAAACTGTAAACCTAAGCTCTGGCAAAAGGCAGCTTCGCGAGGTGTGCGACCATGGCTGGCTGCACGTGCTCTGCCTCCTGGACAATTTGAGGGTTTAGGGTTTAGGACATGGGGTTGAGAGTTTAGGGTTTAGGACATGGGGTTTAGGGTCTAGGGTTTAGGACATGGGGGGTTTAGGGTTTAGGGTTTAGGGATGAAGATGGGTGGTTGTCATATTTATGGTCCCATTTTGGGTCCTTCATATAATAGGGCACCTATTATCTAGGGTACCCCAAAAGGGACCACAATTTTGACAACCACCCAGATAGTGCTCTTGGAGGCTGGGGAGGTTGTTGGAGGCTGACGCTTCGAGGGTGGAGGCCTTCCGGGGGCTTAGAGTGTCGGGCTCGAGGTTTGGGGTCTCTTGGATTGTGGCCTCTGGTTTAGGGTTTGGGGCTTAGGGTTTAGGGGACTTTATTACTGGGCTCCTCGGGTTTAGGGCTCTAGGTTCCTGCGTGGTATTGGCTTGCGGGCTGCATCGGGCCTTGGCCGTTTGGTACTCAAGGAACTTCTCGATGCGGAACTGTAGCTCCTGCAGTCATGAACGAAAAAAGTGCACGCCCATGTCCATGAATCCTCGGCCACACCAGCATCCTCAACATAAGAACTGTCATCACCCTCAACATCCTCGGTCGATTACCACCAAGGTCAGCAGCAGCAGCGGCAGCAGCAACAGCAGCATGACCACAAAAAGGAATCTCGCCAAGGCCCAGAGTACGGCCTTCTTTGCAAGCTCGAGCTATAGGAAAGTCACATGAACTCAGGATCGGTCAGCTCATTTGTTCGATGCTTCGTCACTACATAGCACCTTATCTCGCGTATCTTCATGTCTTCAAGCTTAATTCTGCAGTTCCTGCTGTCTGCCGTTCGCTGATATTCCCTGATCGGTCTTCGACTAGGATGTTGTTGGTCGCCGTCGTCGTCGAAGTGGTCGAAGATGTCGTCGTCCCCGCTGTCGTAGCAGCGGCAAAAGGAGGAGGCGGGGGAGGATGAGGAGGAGGAGCCGCAGAAGCAGTCAGTGGCAACAGTATGTCGTTGTACCCTTCGTAACAGTAGTTGCTGGCACTGCTGTTGTTGTTAGGACTGTTGTAGCTTGCTGTTGTTGGGCCTTGTCTAGTCATGGGCTGAAACTCAGTGCCCGCCTTGCCGACACCATTCTGCTTCAGATAGCGGCGCAGGATCCAGAACTGCTTCATGTGGTTGCTTCGCCTCAGAGGATAGCAACTGATTGAGGATGTAAGTAGTTGCAGCAAATACAAGAAGACTGAAGAATGAAACTTCACTTTACCTAAATCCCAATAATGCTGGCCCTAAACCTTAAACCCTAAACCCTAACCCCTAAACCCTAGTACTAGTAGACATGATAGTACCTTGGGCGATGGCAAGTTCTGCAGCTGGGTCATGGAGGCCGTCACGCCTGTGCAGCACGAGCGTCTGCATCTCGACCCCTGTGCTGCTCCCATTGCCCCCATGGGTTTAGGGTTTAGGGTTTAGGGCCTCCCACAATGGACGAAAACGCCACCATGGCGAAGAAAAGCACGGCGATGGAGAAAATCCGCTCGTAGACCTCGGCAAGTTCATCCAACTTGACCTGCGCGATTTGGCCCCCAACCCCTGTGAAAAAAGTATACAGAAAGGCTTGTTGAGCCCGGGCAGCATTGGTAGCACTCACGTTCATCGAGGCGGGCGTGAACTGAGTCAGCGCCTCAGCAGAGCGAGCGGGGCTACGACCCCTTGCGGCAACAAGGGTTGTTGAGGGTTCCCTTCAAAGTTCAGGGTTAAGGGTACAGGGTTTAGGGCTTCTAGGCTCTAGGGATTAGGGTTTGGGGCTGGGGTAACATGCCTCTTCCGCTGCAAGGCTTTCGCCAAAACCGCTCAACCCAGCGCCCAGAGGGCAAAGCCCTGATCTGCCAAAGATTAATGCAAAAAACACCCTATTCGCCTAAACCCCAGACCAGTCCAACAGCTCAAACACTGAAGCCCACTCGTATACCAATGCTAGTATGACAAGATTGGGAGGACGTACTATCAGGATTAATAAATGACCCTGAACCCTAAACCGTAATACTCTCTCTCTTAGTTCGGGCTCCGGCCCAGTGGAGGGATGTGAAGTACTTGTAGGTTTGGTCCTGCGGAAAGCAGCGGGCTTTTTGGCTGCGTCGAAGGCTTCTAGGCTTCAGGGTCTCTTGGGGGTTTGGGGACTAAGGGTTTAGGGTTTAGGGTTTTTGGTTTAGGGTCTAGCATTTAGGGCTTAGCTTAGAGGGTCTATTTAGGGTTTCGGGTTTAGCAACTTCGGGTTTAAGGTTTTGGGGCGTAGTTTTGTTTAGGGGTTAGCGGTTTAAGGCGCATCACGGGGAGAGGGTGCGACCTTGCGACCCCGGAAGTTGTTACACATGTTCCCCTGGTGCGACGAGCAATGCGGTGGGGTCCCCGAAACCGACAAACCTTTAAACCCAGGGAAAGCTGTCGTTTCACCTGGCCCTCTGATGCCCTTTGATTCACTGATCATGGATAACTAGCAGGGGCGTGTGTTTCTCGAGTACGATTGGGTTGTGGTGGCAACTCGTAATGTGTTTAAGCCAAGATGTTGCTATTTTTTGTTGCTATTACGATCATCACCATTGTTACGATCGTTATTGCTGCTGCTATTTTCATTGGAAGTGGAAGTAGAAGTACTAGTCCTAGCATTGACATTATATAGCATCAGCATTAGCACCAGAATTCATATTGGTATTAGCATTAGTATTAGCATTGGCATTAGCATTTCTTGGTAGCCAAATCGACATGCACTTGCGGAACGCAAAGACATCGTCGCTCCCCCACCGAAAGCCTACGAGGTCCTCGTCCTCGTATTTCCCCTCCTGAATCCTGAGGCCGGGGGGCTTAGGGTTTAGGGTTTAGGGTTTAGGGTTTAGGGTTTAGGGTTTAGGGTTTAGGGTTTAGGGTTTAGGGTTCAGGCTTTGGCGTCTATGGGTTTAGGGCCTAGGCTATGAGACACTGAAGGATGGCCCAATCTCCCCTAAACCCTAAACCCTAAACCCTAAACCCTTTGGGAAGTGGGATTGGGTTCGTGACCTGACCACTGCTTTCTCTGTGCGGCCGTCGTGGGTCTCCGAATACGCTGCGACTTAGGGCTCTATATCAGGATCCCGTATCTTCCGAAACTCCCATAATGTAGGGGCCTTGATAATTAGAATAGGGTTTTGGGGTATATTCTACTATAACCGTAATCAGGAACCCCCCCCAAAAAAAAAAAGAATAGTATTGGCAATTATTTAGGCTCCTATATTATCGTTCTGAAGCCTGGTGCCCAAGCGTCCAGTTGACCATCTCCGATGCTAGCGTCTCCTTGCCAATCAGGTACCACCTCAGCCGCAAAGACTATGCAGATCACAGGAAGGCGTGCCATGCCTTGTATGCCTCACATGCGAACTTCGGAGCCCGGCAGACACGCGATGACATGGTTCAGCAGCATGATGAAGAATCTCGGTGCAGATCGGGGGTTGCTCTGAGTGATGACTCGAAGGTCCTTTCTACTACCGACTATTGATTGAAGAGGGGCAACCTCCAAAATTAAGCCTGACTGGGGCTAAGCCTTATCACGTACAGGAGCAACTAGCAAACAGCTCACGCGGAACAAACTGGCCACACTGTATTTTCTAGGGCTGAACCCTACTTATAGAAATATTCCTACGACCATTTACTTGTACAGTAGAAGAATTCGATCGCTCGTCGTCGCGAACACCTTGCCTAAAGACATATGAAGCTACTGCGGATGATTAGTGGACGCACCTGAAGCTTTTAAACCCTAAAACCCGTACCCATTAACCCCCTCAGCCCTCAAACCCTTGAACTCAAAAACTCTCCCTTAGACTCTTAATCACTTAAACTCCAAACCCTAGATCCTTAAACCTTAACCCCTACCGGAAATCCCACTTCGGATTCAATAAGACTGCGAACAACAACAGTAATAGCGGTTCTGGCAGTACGAGAAAAAACTACCAAAAATCTCACGATCAACAATAAAGTATTCAATAATGATACTAGTCATGATAATGGTATTAGAATTGAAACGACAATGATCAAAGAGTAACGCTAGTGCTAATCAGAATACTTATGAAAAATTGCAATGATAAAATCCAGGTTCCTAAACGGATACTTGAACGGTTCAACTGACGAGGATTTTACACGAGGGTGTTCACACAGGGGGCCTTATCCGTTAGAATAATGGCTTGGTGTACAGTAAAATAGAATGATACAAAGAAACCACGGAACAGCGTTAGTGAATATACAGGCCCCGGTAATAGGCGGTGAATGCATTTCAGAGGTTTCAGGGTTGAGGGTTAAGGAATGAAGCTGGCGGGTTTAGCAATGGGAACAAAATGTTCAGGGTAATATAGAAGCCTGAATAATGACCAATTACTGCTCCTTACAGCAAATTAATATAACGAGACTACAATACACCCCAAAACTGTTATCTACTTGTCAAGGCCCTTGGATTGCATAGGTGAAGGGGATTTCGGGCTTCGGGTATGATTCAATGCAACCTCGGAAGCTTGACTTTATTGCCTTGTGTTCATGATGACGGTGACGACAGTCATGACGGTTAAAGGTTTTGGGATGAGAGTTTCTGCTCTTGCTACCTTGATCCAGCCAGGCGACAGCAAGCGGAAGAGCGAAATGAGGAGAAAAGTGAACCTCGGAAAACAACGAAGACGACCAAGGTAGGTTGAGCTTGTGGTCCGGGGTAGAGGGCTGCGAGATTAAGCTTCTGCGCCAGGCTTTTTTTACATTCCTCGAGTTTGGCGCTCGGTGTCGTAATTTGTGCCGGGGTCCTACGCTCAGGATTTAGCAAGTTTAGGGTCTGTAGAGCTTCCTGTGAAAAACCGCCGCCACCCCCTCCTCCTAGCATGCAACCAGAATCGAGGCTGTGATTGTAAGAGGAAACAGAACGAGGATCTCAACCAAACCATCAACATGGCACTGCTGTTTAAGTTTAACCTGAAGAAGAAGAAGCAGAACGATAATGGCAACTGCAATCGTCCACAAGGCCTCAGCCAGGCTAGACGACTCTCAGCAGACCTCAGAACCCAATGCCTAAGCTCCAAACTCCGAATGCCACAACCCCAATTCCCGGACCATACTTATAACCGCAAACCCGCAGACCCTAAATGCAATGTTACTCTCGCTATAGAATGTTACTCTCACTATAGACTGGGGGTTCAGCTCGCTTTGAATTCGTTCCAGGACGGCATCCAGGATGCGCCTGTGAACTTCACGACAGAAGACTTCCAGGCAGTAGCACCGCTGCCACAGGTAGTACTAAAGGCACTTTAGATGGAGAAGTAGTAGTAGTAGTAGTAGTAGTAGTAGTAGTAGTAGCAGCAGCAGGAGTAGCAGTAGTAGCAGTAGTAGTAGTAGTAGTAGTAGTAGTAGTAGTAGTAGTAGTGCCGCCGCTCCTCCTGCAACCACTGCTGCTGCTACTAACACTAACGGCTGCAGCCACAGGCACGACGGGAAGGGAAGGAGCGGCGGCATCAGCAGCAGATGTCACAAAGACTACCAGGACCCACATGTCCTAGAAGCCTATATTAGGCCTTGGCAGCTATCGGGGTAGTTCTCTAAATTAGGGTCCCTTTTAAAGTCCTTTTTGTAACGGTGCCGTACTATATTGGGGATCCCAAGAAGGGACCCTGATTTAGAGAACTGCCCATGAGAATGGGGCCCCTAAACCCTAAACCCCTAAACCCTAAACCCTAAACCCTAAACCCTAAACCCTAAACCCTAAACCCTAAACCCTAAACCCTAAACCCTAGCCTGAGCTTCAGCACGCGCAACAGCCTGACCACGCGCATGGCTTTCCCAAGCCTCGGCCCGGCTGTTCAACACCAAAAAGGGATCCCCTGAAGCAGGAGTTGATAGTTGACAACTGAGAATAACGGTTTAGGGTTTAGGGTTTAGGGTTTAGGGTTTAGGGTTTAGGGTTTAGGGGTTAGGGTTTAGGGTTTAGGGTTTAGTAACAATAATTGTCATAATTTTTGTAACAGCCATGGATTCAGTAGGAGGCCAAGAGGATTCGGAACTGAAGTCAACAATCCACGAAACCTTGGCACAGAACCCCAGACACCAGAAAGCACTCGCCTAGGGGTTTAGGGTTTAGGGTTTAGGGTTTAGGGTTTAGGGCAAGGGACGGAACCCTAAACCATGGAAACTACAAACACTGAGCTTTACACGATACCTGTAGCAGCTTCAACCTCCCACGCTCTAGACGCAAAACCCTGCACGCCGCAATCCCTCTATGATACCCGGAAAATGCCGAACCGAAACCCCCCAAACCCCAAACCCTAAACCCTAAACCCTAAACCCTAAACCCTAAACCCTAAACCCTAAACCCAAACCCCTAAGCCCTGAATTTCAAGCCCAATCAGACTCCAATCAGAAACTGTCGACCCCGGGGCCCTGAACCCTAAAGTAGGGGCCTTGATAATTAGAATAGGGTTTTCGGGGGGCTCCTTGTTATAACTATAACTATAGTATAATATACCCCTAATTAAGAATGGGGTTTTGTGGGCTCCTTGCTAGAATTATAATTATAATATACTATACCCCAAACCCTCTTCTTTTTATTAAGGCCCTAAACCCGAACCGTCCGGTGAAACGAGGCCCCAGCCTCAATGCACGGCCGATCCTTGGGCAGGCAATGCTACAAAGCTCGGACGCGTTCTTCAGAGTTTGGGCACCCCGGAGCTAGGGTTTGGGAACTTAGGGTTCAGGGTTTAGGGTTTCGGGCTCAGGGCTTAGGGTTTTGGGTTCAGGGTCTCGGGTTTGCCCATTCCGGTACGTAAATTTCGGGTGCTTTGGGCTTTCGGGGTTCAAGGTCTGGTCGAAGAAAAGCTGGCACCTGCGTTGCCGGCCTCTGGGCACAGCCTCTAGCCATCGCGATGGCGCAAGTGTCACAAAGCTCTAGCTGGTTTCCAGTGACACTGCCACCGACCTAACAAAGGGGCCGTAATGATTAGAATAGGGTTTCGGGCTCCTTTCTGGTACAACAATGACAATAAGGAATCCCCAAAATAGTATAGACCCTAAATAGACCCGAATAGGTGGGTGCTGTTGAAGGGGCTCCCTGAAGCCCTTAACAATGACTTCTACACTTTATGGTAATCCGTAATGTAGGGCCTTAATAGTTAGAATAGGGTTTTGGGGCCCATTATGCTTTAGTTACAGCAAGGAAGCCCCAAAATAGTATAGGTAATTATTTAGGCCCCGATATTATGCTAGCCCGAAAACGGATGTCCGCAAAGGGTCCCAGCAAAGCTCAAGGCATCGGATCCGGCGACCATGGTAAGCCACTCAGGTACGATGACGGCCTCAAAGGATTTGAGTTTAGGGCTTAGGGTTTAGGGTTTAGGATTTAGGGTTTAGGGTTTAGGGTTTAGGGTTTAGGGTTTAGGGTTTAGGGTTTAGGGTGTAGGGTTTAGGGAGTTTGAGGTGTTGTGTGATTTTCCATGGCTTGTAGACTGGCATTATGAGGCATCATAAGTGTTCTGTATGGCTCTGTCGGCGGCTTCTAAATCTTCATAGCGCTTGAGAAACTTTGGGTGCCCCGGGACTTGATAAAGGATCCCACGTATTCGAGATCTATGCTCGCGCCCGATCTGAAATCTTGCTGGCAGGGTTCTATTGGTGACTTAGCAACAGCAGGATAAAGGCTTCCAAAGCCAGCCAAAGAGCATCAGGAAAGCAGCAGAAAAGACACCTAAACGAGACCCCTAGGGCCTTAATAACTAGAAGAGGGTTTTGGAGAATCTTATACTAATTATAAAAAGGAAGCCCCAAAAATAGTATTGGTAATTATTTAGGCCACTATATTATATCATGCGGCTGCCCCGGTTCAGAACTCAGGCCCAGGGCGACTTCGAAGTCTTTCCCGACATGGACTTTTGGGATCAGTTGCGGAAACCCAAGACATCGGGTTTAGGGTTTAGGGTTTCGGGCTTAGGGTTAAGGCGTCTAGGGGCGTGGGGTTTCGAATTTAGGGCTTACAGCGACCATGGGAAGTGTAGAGAAACCGAAGATCAGCGCAAATTCTGCCGTGAAACCAACCACTAAACCCTAAACCCTAAACCCTAAACCCTGAACCTTAAACCGTGGCTCTGCAGCAGTCTCTGGGCTCCTGGCAATATCGAAGCAAAACCATGTGGTCAGGTAGTGGATTGCAATCTTGTGGGGGTCCTCGGGTTCCGATGTTAAGGGGAGCGTGCCACCCGAAAAAGGATGAGAAGGACAGGCCCATAAATCCTACACCCTAAACCTGAAACCCAAGACAGAAAGAAAACCGAGTACTGGCCTCAGTTATTTAGGATTTACGGTTTAGGGTCTATGGTTTCCCAACAGAACCTATACTGACCATTTGGTCTGGCCGAAGGACACTTTGATACTCTGAAAGAGCCTGCCACCTGGCTATGGAATGGTATATGGCCCGAGTGGCCCATAGGGCTTTGGGAAGCACAAGTACGTGCATGCACGACGCTTACAGAACTGATACATAGACTAATGAAAGTTATGAACACATAATTCATAGGATAGAAAGCTAGTCTTAGCGTTAAGCTTAGTATAACCGCTGGAGCTATTGCTAGCATTGGGTTCGACATCCCGGTGTCTTGCCAATGTTAAAGACAGGCAAACCATGATGTAATTGCTGCTGGTGGGGGCAGCATCGAATCCTAACACTCCCACATTGCCATAATGTAGAGGCCTTAATAATTGGAATAGGTTTTTGGTGTATATTATACTATAACTTTAATAAGGAACCCTAAACATTTGGGCTTCTATAGTATTGGAATTCGGTGCTTAAGCTGCTTTCCAAGGAGAGTGGCCAGAACGAGTTGCCCATTGTAGTAATAGCCCGTGACGAAGCTGAACACCACGTCCACCGTCCAGAAGATCTTGGCGAAAGCAAGCAGAATGTATGTCCTCCTATGTTGGGATGCTCTCGGTTCTGGGTGAAGGAGCGCTGATACTATAGGGGCCTTAATGATTAGAATAGGGTTTTGGGGCCCATTATGCTATAACTATACTAAGGAACCCCCGAGGAACAGTCTTGGTAATTTTTTAGGCCGTCTTTAGGCCCCTACAGTACTTGCAAGCGGGCCGCCAAAGCAACCCAGTCCATAAGGTCGTGAAACAGTGTCCTCGCGCGACTGCGGCATATTTCAAGATGGAGGTTCGGGGCTCTCGGAGGGAACAGCCCTTAAACCGTAAACCATAAGTCCTAAGCCCGAAACCCTAAACCCTTGTGAAACCCTAATAAACACCCTGAAACCCCCAAAACCAAACCCTAAACGCCTAAACCCTAAACCCCAAGCCCTAACCCTAAACCCTTGTTGACATGCTCTTGAGGGATTTGGTGTTGCCTAAGTGCTCTGGAGCAAATCGTGGGCCCTGAAATTCAAGTCTGTGACATGAAACCAGAAGTCTCGCCAAGCCCCCCTAAACCCGAAACATACTAGAGTAGTACACCATAGTAGTAGATTATAGTGTGTTAGGGTATATTATAGTATACTAAGGTATATTCTAGTATATTATAGTATATTAGAGAATATTATAGTATGCTGTAGCACATTATAGTGGACCCTAGACCCCTACCCTAAACCCGAAGCCCGAAACCCTAAGCCCGAAACCCTAGAAACCCTAAACCCTATAAACCCTAAACCCTAAAGCCTATAAACCCTAAGCCCGAAACCCTAGAAACCCTATACCCTGTAAACCCTAAACCCTAAAGCCTATAAACCCTAAACCCTAAAGCCTATAAACCCTAAACCCTAAAGCCTATAAACCCTAAACCCTGTAAACCCTAAACCCTAAAGCCTATAAACCCTAAAGCCTAAACCCCAAGCCCGAAACCCTAAACCCTAAAGCCTCTAAACCCTAAAGCCTAAACCCTATAAACCCGAAACCCTAAAACCCTAAACCCGAAACCCTAAACCCTAAACCCTAAACCCTAAACCCTAAACCCTAAAACCCTAAACCCTAAACCCTAAGCCCTAAACCGTCGATGCCTGGGGAACTCGAAGGCTTCCAAGGGAATCGCGCAAATGTCGTACCTCCAAGCTTCGGGTTTAGGGTTTAGGGTTTAGGGTTTAGGGTTTAGGGTTTAGGGTTTAGGGTTTGGGGTTTGGGGTTTCGGGTTTTGGGTTTGGTGCTTTCTTGGGGAGGTTAGGGTTGAGGGTTTAGGGGTTAATGTAAGGGCCTTCATAATTACAACAGGGTTCTGGGGTAGATTCTACTATAAATATAATAATAATAATAATACTGATAATAATAATAATAAATATAATAAGGAGCCCCCAAAAAAATAGTAGTATTGGTAATTACTTAGGCCCCTGTAGTAGAGCTTTGGGTTGGTGTTTTCTTGGGTGGTTTTCGGGTTTAGGGTTTAGGGTTCGGGGGGGAGTTTAAAGTTTAGGGTTTAGGGTTTAGGGTTTATGGTTTAGGGTTTAGGGTTTAGGGTTTAGGGGGTTTAGGGGGGTTCCTTATGAAGGGTGGTGTCTGGCTGGCCTTCTTGGGTTTGCTTGATGGTTTCCTAGGGTTTCTTCAGGTTCAGACTTAGGCCTTCGTAGGATTCAGGGCTTAAGGCTTTTTGAGGTGTGGGGATAGGGATCTGTGGGGCTTACAATCCAGGATTTTTAAAAAGTGTTCCTGGACCTTTGAGGGTTTTGATTTTGTGGAGGTTGGGGTACACTCTACTATAACTCTAATAAGGATCCCCCACACGATAGTATTATTGGTATATATTCAGGCGCCTACGGTAGGACGGTTATAATGATAGAGCCGTTAAACTTAAGATCACCCATACATCAGAACCCTTACGGTAACTCTTATACTAGGCCACCCTAAACCCTAAACTCTAAATCCCTAAACCCCAAACCCTTAAACTCTAAACCCTAAACCCTAAACCCCTGAAACCCTAAACCCATAAAACCCTAAGCCTAAGCCCTACTTAAACCCTAAAACCCTAAATCCTACAGCCCGATTCCCTGTTGAGGGCCCAGGCTTTTCCGTTTCAGCTGAGCTGCATGATCAGAGCAAGGCCGCTGAGGTCCCAGAAGAGGCGCAAGGGCGTCGAGGGAGGGATGGGTCCTCGGGAGATGGCGGAGACGCAGAGAGCCCAATAACCCCTTAATTAAGGGATATATGTTAAACCATAATATGAGGGCCCCTATACGTTAAAGTCTATGCCTTAATTAACGGGTATACCTTAAATCATAATATGAAGGCCCCTATCATGATAGGTGTACTCCTTAATCCAAAGGTATACCTTAAAAATTAAGGCCCCTATCCCCTATAATTTAAGGTATACTCCGTAATTAAGGGGTAAGATGTCACTCCTGAGATGCAACGAAGGAGGGGTAAGAGGCTCGAGGCCTTCTGCTTGGGAGCTGAGGATTTAGGCTTCAGAGTCTTGGGTGAAGTTTAGGGCAGTTTAGGGATTTAGGCCTACGAGTTTTGGGTTTAGGGCATTGTAGGGTTGAAGGGTTTAAGGACTGATTCTATGCGCAATGCCGGCATCCTCCAATTCTCTAAGCTTCTTTAGTTAGGCTAATGTCCCCTGCGGGACGAGACTCGTGCAGGTTTCTTCAGTGCTGGGTATCCTATAGTTCATGGACTATGACTGTCAGGAATTGGCCCAAGATAGGGTTTAATGAGAAACTTTCGCGGCCATGATTCGGCGCTGCAGCAGCATCACGCAGGAGGCGCAGTTCACGGAGGGAATCATCTCCATGGTACGAGCGCCTCAGCAAAGGACTCGCCAAGATCGCTTCCCAGAACTGCCCAGACATGCATTGGTAAAAGAACACCGGAGTAGTAACAAAAACAATTCTGGTAGTAGGATTAGCAGTAGTCGTAGCAGCAGCAGTAGTGGGGGTAGCGCTGGTGGTGGTAGTAGTAGTCGTAGTAGTAGTAGTAGTAGTAGTAGTAGTAGTAGTAGTAGCAGCAGTGGTGTAGTAGTGGTAGTAGTCGTAGTAGTAGTAGTAGTAGTAGTAGTAGTAGTAGAAGTAGAAGAAGAAATAGAAGTAGAAGTAGAAGTAGAAGTAGTAGTAGTAGTAGCAGCAGCAGCAGCAGCAGCAGTAGTAGTAGTCGTCGTCGTGCATGTACATGTACATCTGCATCGCCGGGACAAAAGTTTCGACATACAGAGGTTGTT